CAGTTCCCTCGAGAGCTATTGGGGACCCTCCGGGGGGAGCCGGCAATAAAACCGCGGGGCCGGCAGGAGCCGCCGAGGCCGGGCCGCTCCCGGGGCCGGGCCCTGGAGGGCGCTGCGGGGCCGCGCATTACCCGGCCCTGGCCGAGGGAGAAAGCATCCGGAAAAAATCCAAAACCACCAAAAAAAAACCCCCAAAAAAACCAACCCCAAAACCACCCTTTTGCACCTAGTGCAGCTATGCCTGCAGTACGTTGCTGTGTACGAGCCCTGTTTGTCTTCGCAAAAAGGCGAGGAGGTCCAGGGAAGCTGATACAAAAGGCAGGGAGCATCCCTAAAAACGGGAGGGATGCTCCGGGCTGGGCAGGGCGCAGCTTTCTTGCAGCCCGGCAGGGCTCTGTGCTTCCCCTGGGTCTGGCCCCATACATCCGTGCTGGGAAACCACCCTGAGGCTCATCACCTGACACTCAAAAGGCAGAGAGCATTACCTTCAGCCTTCGATACAACGGCAAGCCAGCCACATATAGCTACAGAAGGCAAAACCCTGCCAGAACAACGCTGCACCGAGCATAAAGTTGAAAGAGAGGAAGGAATATCGTAGATGGTGACAGTGGGTTACTAACATATACCTGGGAAGCCCTTGGGTATTATAGGGTAACATCCCATCATTCAGTAAGTTTCGTAATGCAGAGTGTTTGCTCAGCCTCACAAGTATGTGATTTTGAGTTAACAACACTAGCCACACTAGATTAGGCTAGGTGTCTTTCAAAAGGAAAAGCCCCAAGGAAACCCCGGCAGCTTTTTTATAGGTAGAAACGATTCCTCAGACTTACTGAGCAAAGCTCTCATTTTGGGGGGGGGATGACACATTACCAGGAGCCCTATCTTGTGTCCCCAGCACAATACCGATGTCCTGATTCATACTAACCATCAGTAACTTTCTTCAAGATTAAAGGCAACAAAATACAGCATCTCTAGTGAACTCCAAAGGGGTATATCTGAACAAGGCAAACAAAAACAAGCACTGAGCTGATTTACATTCTAATTTAACTGTAATTAAATGTACTCTGAATTTCCTTTTTTTTTGTTTAACTCAGTCATTGACTGGTTACAGTTTTCTCACAGCCTCGCAGACTGTTGTCAGTTTTATACCATCATTGGTCCAGAAGCCTTTGCCAGGTCGACTGCTCCTTGCTACCTGCTCCCACACAGCTGCTTCCACAGCAGCGATACAGAGCATCCTCACTCCCAGAAACCTCCAAGCATACAGAGTATCAGTCACTTCTGTGGATACTGATAAGAAGGGTCCCAAACAGTACTGAATTAAATTTGCGGTTTAGATTGTCCATTATTTTTCCTTCTTTCTGCAGTATTTGCTCAGCCCCAGTAGAAAATGACATGCTGTTTAATTACACACACACCATTTTTAATTAAGACATTTTGATCCTGTTTCTGGACTGTGTTCTTGGTAGCTGGCTGTTGGCACAAATTGTGGCTGGGTTCCACCCCAGAAGTCCTCATGTCCTGTGTAGCACACCCAACACCTACCATCTGACAAGCTCTTGGATGGCAAACCAAGCACGGGATCTGAGCTGGCAGAAGGAAACTTCCAGTCATCTGGCAGAGGGACATTTCTTCGCTGCTTAATCCCTTAGCTCCTCTTTGAGCATGCACAAAATGCTGACTTTGTCTTCTGAATTTGGAAGAATATAGAGGTAAAACGCAACTGCAGCATTTTGCAGTCAGCACAACTAGTATAAGCCTTGCTCAGATCTACAGTCCTCATCTCCGAGATCACTGGACTCCAATTAATCTTGGGTTCAGTAACTTTCCAGCAAAGCTTTACAGTGCATGTCTACCTCCTTTCAAGGACCCTGCCTTTTGACTAATGCATAGAGCTAAATTTGTTCTTTGATCACAGATGGTTCCCCCCCTTAACTCAGGCTGCACAGCCTGTGCTGATGAATGCTAACTTTTAACAGGCTGTAAATCAGTCTGGTTTTCTTCCACAATTCTTCAAACAGACAATCCTACATCAAATGATGGCAAAGACTGTTTCTGGCATACTCCAAGATACAAGCCCTCTCTGCCTGTTCTGCCCCAGTTTAGAAAACCATTTGCAGGCTTCTGCAAGCCCTCAAAGGCTAACTCTATGTGGCTACTCCAGTCTGAGATCCAGGAATGGCACTTTTCCATCTGAGTTGCCGCTGGTAAGAACACATCTGATTTAAGCAGAGGGGCAAGAGCTGTGCAAAGTGGCCACCAGACCTAACAGACTTCCCAGAAACTTTCTGGGTCATCATAAGGATGGAAAAAAGGAAGGGTTGCCGGCTGACTGGACAGCTATTTTCCTTGCTGAAGAACCACTGGCTGGCAGCACTCATGAGGTTACCACAGGCATCGAGAACCCACTGAGGAGGGGAAGACAGACAGAACTATGCATCTTGGACAGATTTGATCCTAAGCTGGAAAGAGCTCACATTTAGGTTTGTCCTTATGAATATCCTATCCGAATCCTTACACATTAATCTTATTTATTTAGACTATCTAGTTCCCAAAAGGCATGATTTATCCTATGCCCTGTGCTTCCTTCAAGCAATGCTATTTCTATGTTTGGATGGAACTGGCCACAAAAAACAACTCGCAAAGAAAGCAAAACACTGATGAAAATGCAGAAGCCTTAACATTTGTTTTCCTCAGCATCCCAAACTCTACAAAATTTGCATTAAGTTTTGTTTTCAAAATCATTACAAGCGTTCAGTTTGCCTAACAGGAGGCACGCTCACCTGGAATGACGACCCACTTCATTTTAGTCCTTATGCTGCTGGATACCTAACCAGGATTTTGGAACATCTGAGGCAAGTTCATTTGTAATGAAGTATAACTAGGGGAAATGATGACTTTCCTTGCCTCCCTCCAACCATTCCTCATCCAATCCGGACCAGAAAAAACCCTTCCAACAAAGCTTTTGTTGAAACAGAAACATTTCCATGAAAAGTTTTGGTTTCATCTGACTGGCAGTTTACAACTAAAAGTACGTCACCAAAAAGGTTCCTAACTAGCTCTTGGCTTGGACCCACAGTGACCTCAGCCCCAGCAGATGTTTGAAGGCCATGGTACAGAGAAAGAAACAGAGAGCAAATACATGAATAGTTGACTGACTGCACGCATCCATTATCAGGATAAGGGAAAGTTGGAGAAGGGGTAAGCTACCTGTTATTTCTTAATTTAGAAGTTCTTGTGAATAGAAAGTAGAGCAAACATGTCATCTACCAGCTCACAAAATCCTGACTTCTTAAAAAATATCCACCACAAACTTGCTTACTGCACCTCTAGAGTACTCTCCCTTAGTTCTTTCCTACTGTTAGTACCTGCTCCCTGCACTGCCCCCTCTACTGCTTTTTAGTCCTCACCATCCTTTAGGCCCCCCTCGGTCCTCCTTCCACATAACTTACCCATTTATCTTTGATCCTTGAGGCCTTTAGTAGGTATGTGGAGCTGTATGACAAAATAAGGTCAGAGCCCCTTTTTACACACAATCCTGTCCTCATGCAATGAAAGAAACCATGAAAGGTAAAGGCTGTGTTCTCAGCAAATAGGCAATCAGGCACTCACAACAATGTCTCACTGCTTTATTTCCCCTTCACACTGGCTCAAAGATGCTCATTTTCTTCCTTCTCTCCTTTCCCCTCCCTCCCCTTCCATAAACTAAATTTTGAACAGTTGGTTGGCCAAGGCAGCAGATTCCAGAGAGTCTTATTACAGGCCAAATAGCAATAAAACTCATTTGGCATATTCATCATATTGGGAAGGTAATAAAATTAAGGAACAGGGTTGCTATTTTGGTATGTCATTCCTCAGTAAGGTACCAATGACTAAGAAAAAAGCTTCCACTGAGCTAAGGAAGCTGAATGTTTCCCACAGCTGACGAGTAATGCAAAAGACTTAATAATAACTAAGATGTCTGCAAAGCACCTAGAAAAGGCAACTTCCCAACACCCAAATGCACCGACTCCATTCTCACTCATGCTAAACCTGAGCAAAGAATGAAGAAAAGGTTAAACCTGGCAAAAGCAAGCTACCCACCCTTCCCAACCAGCACAATGGTTATAACAAGAGCTGCCAACACAGCCAAAACACCTGCACAGGAAATCAGTCCCCTGGAATCTCCCTGTTTGCCTTCTCCTGCCAAGCAAATCTGCCCACAGTTAAGACTGACTGATAATTATTGAACTTGGGTTGAACAGTTTCAGTTCACAAAATTTCCAAAAATACCAACTTGGTCCAGGTCCCAGTAGAAGATGAGGTGAAGATGAAAGAGGAAGAAACAGAAGGAGGGTGGGTTGGTTGCTCAGGCACTAAACAGAAAGGGAAGTATGTTACTCATATGCCCTATTTCTCCCTCCATCTTAAAGTGCAATTAAACTCTGAAAAAGGGCAACAGTACAGCCCTGAGCCTTCCTTCTGAGTTGTACTCTCTGCGTCATCCACTTTCCTGCATGCTGGATTTAGCAATGAAAATAAATATTATTTCTGTTAGTCAACAGGGTCTCTGGAGAAGGACTGGGTCTGAGCTGGCTCATACATCATCCAACCTCCATGGCTGAGACAACAGAATATTGTTAGCTGTGTATTACTCAGAAGGGACCTGATGTGAACTACAGTTTCCAAGGACTTCTACAGTATAAGCTGGTTCCTGTGCAAGGCTCACCTTTTTGCCCTGTTTCTGTACAGTGCTTACAACAAAGGTCTGTGATAAGGGATATAAGTCAGAGCCATAACACAAATAACTACATTTGCATGACAGGGTATTAATCCCACTAGTTTTCTCACACAAACTGTGGCACTTTTGAATCACCCAGGAGAAACCCAATTCCTGGGTTTGCTGTAACTCTACGTCAAGTCTTTTATTCTCATGCAATGGGGAAGGAAAGGCACTCACCTCCTTCCTTGCTGACTCCCAAGCACCCCTTCAGCTCCTGAAGCGAGATTGACTTGTCCTTGTTGAGGTCACAGTAGTCAGTGAAACGTCGGGCACATTTCTTGGGCTTGGCTTTCTTCTTCACATAACGTTTGAAAGGCTTCAGCTCCCGCTTGTTGATGTCATTGCTGCTGTTGTTGTCCAGTTGGCTGAAGTACCAGTGTACCACTCGCTCCTCCAGCGTGTGGCTGGGGTCTGGCTCAGAGAACCTGGAACAGAGGAAGCAAAGGCCCCCGACAAATGGGTGCTCTCACCAACACTGTCAAGCACATGCCGAGGAGCCAAAGCTGCTCGCTGAGTCAGACACTCACTATGCCATATTTAAAGCAAGCAAAATACGTGGGTCTTACACTCCTCTTTTTAGCTGGGCTCTTTTGAGATAGATGAACTTTTTCTAAAAATGTCCTTTAGCATTAACAAGTGGTGCCAAGAGATTCCTGGAGACTGATACCCTCAGTAGCTCTGGTTCTCCTCACACCAGTTGCTGAAATCCTGCCTAATCCCAGAAGGATCCCCTTTAGAGGGCAAGAGGCAATCTCCATGGTCCTTTTGAACTTTGGGCTCCCATTCAAGTTACCAGCAGGAGAGCTGTGAGTGTCAGCTGTCATGGTAGTTTCTGTGACAGCAACACCTAGACTTCAGAAAGGGAACAAATTCATTTAATGCAAGACACATTCATTATTTGAAAATGTCCTTGGCAAGATGCAACATTCTTGCTGTATCTATTTATATGATCTGAACTCCTGTGCCGTATTTTCAGCATATTTAATGCTTTTCACATGGTTGATTTATACACAAGAATTCCACAGCAGACAAACACCACAAATCCATTAAAAGCAATACTACGGAATGGCAACTTCAGTTTGCTTCATTTTTTACTTATCGTGATATTACAAGTTTGACGTTATTTGGCTCACATTTTCTTTCTGTGGACAACAACAAACAGTATCAGAGAGGAGAAGCAGGAGGAAAAGCAACAGCTGAAGATGGATGGATAGAGAATGCTGCCACTCAACATCAAGCCATCACTGAACTGGTACTGTTATGTCATACCATTTAAGCAGTGTCAGTTGCACCCTGCAGGAAGCCAGATTCCAGTGTGAGTTTGGGGCATTCTACCCGACGGGGAAATATCAACCCAGGTACCTTATAAAATGCACTTTAAGACTGTCACCAACCTTGTTTCAGAAACTGGTAGGATATACATTTAAATTGTCACTAAAAGTTTCTTTGTTGGGAACTAGAATGGAGAAAATTCTTTTGACCTTCTGGTATGACGAGTTTTGCTTCTGAAATGCAGCTAGAGAGCCTAAAAAATAAAACCCCCAACCTATTGCCATGGTAATTTACATCACTAGTGAAGGGGAGTCTACTAAGCAATAGAGCTTAGGTAGAGAACAGAGATCCCCTTCTCCGATAGCTTTTACAAATGAGGATACAATTTAGAACGGCAGCTTCTATCCAGAGACATCTGGATCCTCACAACAAATAAACATGCACAGTAGAGAGGCAAATAAATCACACAACATTTTCCCCGTGGTTTTACTTGAAACTATCTCCATCATTTCTTAGCTGAGAAGCAGCCTTGGCGTTCAGTCACAGGATCTGGTCAACGTACAGTGGGATAAACAGTGTGGGGAAAGAAGAGGTTGGGAATAAGTCTGGCTTCCTTTTGGGAGCCAAAATACAAGGCAAGGCCCTGGAGCCACCTATGGACATGCAGAAATTGCAAAAGTCTCCCCGGGAAGCTAAGGGAGTGCCTGGATTTTTTTCACAGCCTTGAAACTATGCAAAGACCAGGATGACAGGAGAGAATAAAAACACATCCTGTGGCTTGTTTTTATGACATTTATGAACACAGCCATTAGCCTCTCTCCCTTTTGGAAACGAGCTGGCTATGATTTGAAGACTAGCATGTTTCCAACAGCCACAGGGAAGTTCTGTATTGCAAGGGACAATGCTCTGCTTTTGCTGAGATGGAGGAATAAAACCTGAGCTTTTGCATGTGAGATTCCCCTCATCCACATCTTGGCTTGCCCTTTATTTCCTGAAGGGCCACAACTGGAAAGGCAGAAATGGAAGAAGGGGCAGAGCATCTTCGAACCAACAGCAGACAGACAACAGACAGAAACAGAAGCTTCTCTTTACCTGCTGAAGAGATGCTCAGAAGTAGGACTTAAAAGTGCCTCTTTTTCAGAGGCACACCATGGAGGAGCTCTTAAGAGCTCATGTCCCTGCCTATGGCAGGGGGGTTGGAACTTCAAGGTCCCTTCCAACCTAAACCATTCTATGATTCTGTGATAAGAGTTACCAGGAGAGGCAATATAGTGCTCTTCAGCACTTCCATAAAGAAAATCAGGGAAATCCACAGGCCAATACAAATACATTGACTCATGAGGTGATGATACATCAATCTTTGCCATTACAAACATGCTGAGAGCTGGTGCTGAAAACTGCAGCATGCTAATGGAGCTAAAGGGAACTAGTTTAACTGCTGTGATTGTAGGAGGAAGGAACATACAGCCACTTCTGAGTTTTTACCACCTCCTGTTGGCTGGCTTGGCAAGGCTGCAGTTCCCGAGTTGGTTGCCTGCCTGTTCTGATGATCATCCAGAATCCCAGCACAGGAAGGATCCACATCATCTCAGTACAGCCATATCTCCCTGGCTCATTAAATTACATGATATACTAAAGAAGGCTGAGGTTACAACACTACCTATCTTGACGTTGATGGCTGCCCATGCAAGACACTTCGGCACCATCCATGAAACATGAATTAATGCAACTTCACAGCACTGCTAAGCCACCTAGCTTCGATGATGTGCCATGACAATAATCATACCTGCTGGGTCAGCTGAAATAAATCTGGGGACTCTAATTGTCCTGCAAGCACAGACTTTGCAGGAGTATTCCAGGGGAATTTCCCTCTATTACCTCTTCATGGCTGTTGCAAGAGAAATAAATCAGCCCTCTGATGCAAACTTCATTTGTTGGGCTGCCTCTCTACTCATTCAGACCATAAAGGAACCAGAAAAAAAAACAACCCAAAACCAAGAAAGAACAAAGTTGCCCTGTACATTCTCAACTCCCAGCAACACAACATCTCTTGCTCTAACACCAGCCACACAAAACCCCACTAAATTCCAGTCTCTCACTCTAGTGTTGTAGCAGCTTTGTAAGACCGAGCAGCCTTCTCAGTTTTCTTGTGTTGACTGCATTACAGCTGTACTTACTTTTCTTCCTAATTGTTCCACTTGAGCACTCTATGGCAAAACAATCAATCCTGAAGAATGAGTGCTGGTGAAGCAAAGAGCTCTGTGTGAGCTGATTTTCCAAGTCTAACCTGCTATTGCTGGATCGCCTCCGTACATAAGCCAGCAGGTTTAGCTCCATTACGCAGCATAAGCCCACCCACAGTCCAACAATGAAGAGAAGCATGGTCTGCATTAACAGCCTAGGACAGGGAACCTGCTCTCTCTACTTTCTTACTAATTTCTTGGCATCAAGTATATAGTCATCTCTACACAGGCTTTTGATCCTCCTCCTGTATAACATGCTATCAGCTCCCTCATAGGAGGAGAATATTTATTTCTTAGGTGGCTTATGCTTGAAGATATGTGGGTAAAGATACTGTTACTTTTAACAATACTATTTTCCAGTCGACACACTTCCACTAAACACCTTCGTATCACCTGGTGTAACTTGGGTACAGGCAGAAAGCAAAGAGGCTATTAAAAAACATGGACGTGTACTTTTGCAGCTACACTGAATTTTGGAGCAGAGAGAAGAACATGCCAAAATATGAAATAGACAGCTTGATATGCACTTTGCATGCAGCCTGTAATGCTTTCCAGCCCTTGAGGCCCCTTGCAAGAAAGGAGGAGTTAACTCAGTGGGAAGGAGCAGGGAAGAAGGGAAGGTGTATAGGGTAAAGTATACAAGAGCAGCAAATATCAGATGTTACTTACATACAGAACTGTGTACAGTGTGCAATCACATTGTCCTCCACAGAACTGTGCTGTCAAAGTGTAATACGTCCCACTAAATTTTACTGAGTAAACTGAAGTCCTTTCCTACCAAAACTGATCCTTTGCTCCCTATACACTTGCAGCCCCGCTGCACCCCACCACCCAGGCTGCACACACCCATAGTACTGTCGCAGTGACAGAAAATCCTAATGCAAAATACCGCTTTGAGAGAAAGCGAGGTTGCAATCTCTGAAGCACTCAGCAGATGATCACCTGTTTGAAGACCTTTAGAAAACCTGTTATTTTGTAATACAAACTTCAGGTACCAACAATGGCAGCTGAGGCAGAAGGAGGAAAGGGTAGTAAGACCAGCCTAACATCACGTAACTGGACTGCAGAGACTACAAACCAGAGGGAGCTATTCCAGGATGAAAGAACACTGACGGACAAGAAGCTGCTAGAAGAAGCAACAGAGCAGGAAAAAAAGTTAGTCCAGCTTCCACTCCTAACACACAAGGTATGTTTGTAGTCGGGATGTCTACAGCAGTTAAAGTTGTAAGATGCTCTGACTTGAAAATATTTTGCAAGTATGTGTACCTTGCTTGGTGCTGTCACTGAAAAAAGGATGTATGAGGGCAAAGCTAAATAAATGACAGGACTGACCCTGCCAGTCAATGCCCATGATAACATTCATGATGTCCATCAAGGTGCCTGGAGGAGTGGTGGACAGTGATAAGAATTTACAGACTGAAGTAAAACTCAATTGTTCTTACTCTTCTTACTCTCCTTTTGTTGTTCTTTGTGGTTGTCTGTTCTAAAGTTAAAAGTTGTAATGGTGGAACATGGCTTGAATCAAAGAGGATTACTCTAATGGAATTGCAAAAGGATCGTGTATTTGTTTTATTGTTCTCCCTTTCCTGTAGCAAAAGAATCAAAAAGCCAACAAAAAACTAAGCTGTGTTCAGACTAAACAAAAGGGTACTACACATTCCAAATTCATTATGGGGAATGCATAATTTCTCTACAGATAAAACTTAAGTTTTATCTTCATATTACACAACCAGCTTCTTCCTCTCCTCTGGCTAAGTCGTGTATGAAACACTATTCTGAATACAACTTTTCTGAAGATTGTGGGATAAATCATTCGGGAGGTTTAAAAATCATCTCCTTCACTCCTCATTGACTGTTCAAAGATCCTCCTCTCACATGAACTCTGCTGTATCTGTAATTAGGCTAGAATTTCCATAGGAGCACAAAGAGAAGTTGGTATCCAACTTCAATTGAAATGCAATAGGAGTTGGGCATTAACTTCCCTGCACTGTTTGAAAGTGTCAATCTTTATTAAAACATGGCTCGGCTTCAGAACACCCTGGAGATGTGCTGAGCTGTGCTTGCCTGCTTCAAACTGCTCAACTAGAGCATGAAAGGGAACCTCGGGGGCAATTTTCTGAAGTACTTTTTAGGGCTATTACATGGGGAATAATTGGCAACTTAAAATGAAGGGACACAGCTGCTGTGTTACATGATAAGGGTGGCTGTTGTAAGCTGCTCTTTTAACCCAAAATTCCACAGGGCATTAATATTTTTGCTGATAATATAGTGAGCCATAGCGCACATATTTTGGCAACTAAAATTTATTTCTGAATTGGCAGAGACCAAAGAGTTTCTTAGATCAGGGAAACCCAGGCTGGGATCCCCTTTGGTCTATTTTAGTTTAGGCCCTGTGTAATATGAGTATGTCTGAATTAGAAAACAGACTAAAATGTACTAAAGCGAAGCCTGAATTTTAAAAAGTGCTGCTCCTGTTATATAGGATTTATATATGAACAATTTCAACTATGCATCTTTTCAAAAAGGATACCAAACGCTGGTTAATAAACCAATTTCCTACAAGTGCTCCCTTAATTACTTTGAAAACATACAGTAACAAGATGTGCCTTGGAGTTATTACATAAACTTAAAATTAAGAATGAATTTACCAGAGATTTTCTGTTTCAAAAGTCTAAATGAAGTCTACTTGGCTATTTTGCTGTAATGTAAACCAGGGCCACAAGGAAGGGAAGTCCTCATCTCATTTACATTATTGTAAAGCAAGAGTAACTCAATTAAAGTCAATAGCTTTGAACTTGCTTAAACGAGACAAGACCTATAAGGGATTACAAGGTTGTTTTAAGCATGCCCAATAAAAAAAGTCTTATCAGGTTTTACTTACATGGCCTGCAGCAATCCAAGTTGTACAGCCTCACTTTGCTGCTACTAGATTGTTTTTCTGTGTGCCAAGTATAAAGTGTGCAGTTTAGCACAGCTCAATATGGTATTTTAAATACAGATCTCTATAATTTCTCCCCATGCTCCTCTCTCCCCCCAGAAAAACAAAGCTAATACAGACATTAATTGCAAAGCCACAGATAGCTTTGCAGCATAAATAGGCAAAGCCTTGAAGATGAAGATACTCAGCAAACGCAAGAAGTTTTCACTCCACATATCCTGATTCAGACTAAAGGCTGCAGGGTCATCTAATCTGATTTCCTGTAGATCATACTCGCAGAATGTGAATCAAATTACTCTTAGGATCATAACTCAGGTTTGACTAAAGCAAGTCTTTCTGAAAGGCATCAGGCCTAAGATGAAAGCCTTAGAGAGAGGGAATCTGTCACCTCCCTCATGACTTCATTCTGCCTTAGAATTGCCCTTGCTTTAAAGAAATTTTGATCACAGGTTTGTTTATACTCAGTTAATCATGTTCTTCTGTGCTAGACTAATGACCCTGCAGAGCTTTTGTCCCTATGGAGATACTCAGATTATACAAAATCATCTTTCAACCTTTTTTTTTTTTTCTTTCTTTTAATACCCTAAGGAAGGCTGAGCTCCTTAACACTTTCACTATTGGGCTTTTTCAGCCCTTGACGGTTTGGAAAGGCTCTTCTCTGCATTTGGTCCCATATTTTAATGTTGATACTAAAGATGCGTATTGTAGGCCAGTATCATCTCTCTGTTGCCACAGAGAAACAGGAATGCTCCCTCCCTTCCCCAAAACTCCTGCTTGCTGCTTCTCCAATTAATTAAAATATATAGGACAATATACGGGGCCAACTACAGGGGGATACGGCTTGCTGTTTGCCTGGCCTGCCCTCTGCAACAAGCATAAACTTTGCTGGTGATTTGTTAAAAATTTACCTCAGATCATTGGATGTATTTGTTCAAACTCTAAAAAAGGCCCAGGAGGATGAAATGCTGAATGCCATAACAGAAGAGAAAGAGGGAGGCTATAGAGGGAAACAGTACGCGTTTAAATACAGAACCTGTTCTGCCATCGTTATGGCAAAGACGGAGAAGAACCTGCAATAAGTAAAGCTTGTCTCACCAGTAAGAAAACTGACATTAAGACATTAAAACTGACATTAAGAAAAATCAGATAGCCAGATCTCTAGTTTTTCTTTTCAACATGACCTTCTCAGCAAACCTAGACCAGGAAGATACAGGATGAGCACTGTCATAAATCCAATATTTTTTTAGTTGTTAAGGCTGGAAGTGACTTAGCCTTATGATTAAACCTATAGGTAAAATATCCCTTCATCTTGGAAAAGAACTTTAGTTTCCAGTGCCGAAGTCAGGTTAGGTCACTCAGACAATTTCAGATATTCCTGAAGAGAGGACTCAGGACATTGTTCCCCTTGGGAAACTTGGAAAGCATGACTTATTGCACAGAGACAGCTTCCCAACTCAAACTCATATGAAATGAAAGCTGTACTGATTAAATTTTTATGTAAGTACCAAAAAATCCTTGAAATGCCTTTTTTTTCCAAAATAAATGGTCCTATCATGGCATGGTGGGATGGAAAAGCTTGACGCATGTTCTTTGGGGTATGCACTTAGCCTGGCTGGTATACATGGCAGTTTATGCCAGGGCAGCTTCCTGAATTTAATCATGGCTGTGGGCAGGCAGAGTATTTGGGTGGTAGCAGTCTTTTGCCTTACAAAGGACAGCCCGCTAAAAGATTTCTTTTTCCCCTTGCAACTGGGCTGCCGACACTAGAGCTGAAAATAAATCAACGTGACCACTGTGTGAAGAGCTGGGCAGTGAAAAATTCTACCAGAAAGGCCTCTATTGAAAGCTGAGAAATACACAAAGCTTGGGGAACATTAGGAAGCAAGCCTGCTGGTTTATAGAAGTGCAGTGGGGGCATACATCTCTGGTCTCTACAATATTGGTTTATATTAAGCTTCATTTTAAGAGTAATGATTACATTGGCTGGGTTTCAGTCCCAGTGCCAAAGATGCCAAATAAATATCAAATACTCTCCAGGGCTTCCCACCACCCCTACCCACTGCATTTGAACCATGCAAATTAGACAGAATTGACATTGGAATGCATATAGCTGGGAGAGAACGACGTATTTCCCATCCTTGGGGCATTTTTCATCCTGTTTATATAAATACAGACATGCTAGGCATATACTGCTAATTCAATGGGTTACAGAATATTCAGCGTGCAGGCACTCAGCCACTGGCCTGATTTGTAAGGTCCAAATGCAAAGTTAAAACCATATGGGTTCACAGGCAATCCATACTGAAACCAAGAGGCACTGAGGTGCCACCCAAGAAGTTTTTTGTCTTGAGTAGTTAAAGATGGCACTGCTTCCTTCTACATTTTGAAAGAGGAAAGCAGGGGATCAACATTACTCTCAATACATTGGAGCGATACCCACAGAAGTAACACATGCACAGGGACACCTCCTTCATCTCTACACCCCTATGAACATGAGCCCATTGGTCATTGTGGCATCCCCCCGTGCTAAACTAGCACAGACTCCCTTTATCGTCAAGGGAATCCAGAATCACAGAAACCTTGCATAGGTGAGGCAACATTGCACTTTTAAATCCACCACAGTCCGTTCTCCATAGCCTGAACTGCCACAGCATTGCAGCTGCTGTGCTAAGGGGATTTGCTGTTATCAAGCAGAAGGGGGAGACAAGACCTCAGCTTTTCTCCAGCTCCCCAGAAACGCAGACTTCTGCCCACCTCTCACAACAGGCCTGACCTGCTGCTCCTTCCAACAAGGGGGATGAGCGGGCAGCTGGTCAGAAGGGAGGGCCATGAAAACAAACAGCTCCTCTCCTCATCGGCTGGCTCCGGCCTCACAGCAAAACCACAGCACTTGGTGCCGCCAAGAATCCGGTTCGCATTCTTCACTCCCTGTGGTAGCCACTAGGCCACACGGTCTCCTTCAATTCATTTGCATTTTATTAGGTCTTTTCATGCACCAGGGGACAAAAGAACAAGCCACTTCCTCCAACTGAGCTCTCATTTCACACTTCAAATGGGCTATACTAACCTTTATGGTGGAGCAGCTGCCAGGGAGGAGGGGTGGGAGGAGGCAGGCAGGGCAAGGATGACAGGACAGAGCAACCTCTGAAGATGCAGCCTCAGCTCCTCTTCCCAGCAACCCAGCGGAACCCAAATCAGTGCAGAGCAACAGCTTTCCCTCCTGCCCCCACCTCAGGGGTGCCCAGAGCTCTGCAGCCACCTTGGTGGCAATTCAGCCCGAGTGCTTTCTGGACTCACCTCCCACCCCCAGTAGGTGCTGCTGAGTTAATAGCCTGTACCATATCTGTAGTCAGAGCATCAAGTAAGCTGGTAATAAATTCAACTTTCTTCCCTTCTGGGCACCCTGCAGAAAGAAAAGAGGAGGGTTAATGCAAGAACACACAAGACTGACCTCCTACCCCAGTTCAGCAAGGATCAGCCAGAACCTCCTTTGTTTGTTATGTGGCAGCCATCATCACAGTCCCTAAGGAAAAGCAGAAGAATCCCTCAGTGGGTTTCTCTGTGTGGCAATTCGTCCTGCAGCTTTTGTCCAGGCACACACAGGGTCACCAACAATATCTGGCAGGAAGACCGTGTGGTTAGCTTTACGGCCTCTCCCAGTTCCCTACCAGCATAACCACAGGGATGTGCTGGAAATGTCTGGCAGAAGGGAGTTCCCATGGTGACACTTGCAGAGAAGTTTACAAAACAACTCATTACCTCCTGGGTCATCTTCCTCTGCAAACATGGCTGTTCTGAGGTCCTAACTGACGGCTTAAAACTTCCCAAAGAATGGGCCAAAGCGAGGACTGTTGCTCACACTCTCCTCTTCAGGCACAGAGCACTGCCTGCCAGCAACTACCACAATAATTCAGTTCTTTGCATGATCACACTGCATGGGAAATACGTCAGTCTAAGTTAACACATGGTAATCACCCCCAGTCACTGCTCCCTTAAGGAGGACAAGGCGGGCTGAAGACAAGCTTGGTAACCGTTTCCATTACTTAGTGCTGAGGCTGTCTAGTTCCCTACCATCATAACCACAGACTGACAGAGCCTCCTATCCTTAACAGTGCCAGTCTGTTATGACACAGCTGAGACGAAATTCTCCATCTCCTCACCTTTATGAGGCAATCTATGCCTTTTCCTTGTTTCTTAAAGCAGCAAAAGCATGCTTCATTTACTACCACATTAATACCGTAACAATTGCTCTATCCTGCCAGGAAATGAGTGTACTTAATTTCAATCCACCACCTCCAAAACTATTATCCAAAACTCATCACCTCCCATCCTATTGTCTTCTCTTGATGTGACAGAGAAGCCATCACCATATCCCTCACCTCTTCTCTTTCCCCAAACCACCACACGCTACCAATCAGTAAGCTGATTAAGGCAGCAGACATCAGAAAACAGCCTCCCCCAGCAACATATAGCAGTGTCAACACTTTCTGCTTTTCTCGGACATGCAGAGAAGCACGTGTACCCCAAACAGAGCACCAGAAACTTACTGTAATCCCTTGACAGCTGAAAGCAGCTTGCAAATTGATCTGACAAAACTCCCTCCTTTGCAGCATTACAGGCTCTGTTCTCTGCAACAGCTAACCAACAGTCCCTTGCCTGTCTCCACATTATGTGCATTACACACACGCACACCCCTCAGCACTCGTTTGGCACATGGTCCAGAAAATGTCAGCATTGTAATGGGTAAGCTGCTATGGCAGCCAGAGTAGACCACTCACTTAAAGGAGCTTTTTGTTGCAGTAATGAGAAGGTTGAAAACCCGTTTGCTAGAAGTCATCTCCCTAGGGCCTCAGCATCTCACCGTCTGCAGGAATTAGCAGCTTGCCATTTGCTATGTGCAAGCAACGCTTTCCCTTCTTCTTTCTTTCCTTTTTCTGGCCACAGACATGACACAGTTTGTGAAGAGGATAAATGTAGGTGTGCAAGGATCTGGACTTATGTCTCCCCCACTTTGGCCTCTGCAGGGTCTCTTCACACAGACCAAGGAGCACACTGTCTGCAGCACTGGAGTCTGAAGAATGGGCGAATCTCTAGAAGAGGAATAAGGTATGGGGTCCCCCTCACAGAACTGAGTGCAAATGGAATGATTAGACTCAAATTAAAGCAGACGCTTTTCTTAAAACTCAGTTCTGCTAAGAAATAAGAGCAGAAAAAAAAAAGTAAAAAGAAACATCCTCTCTCACCCCCTGCAGTTCTGGCTCGCCAGTGAACTTTTGCATCCAAGAGCAGCTAATCAAACCTCAAGTCTGCATCAAAAGATCGTGCAGCACAGCATCGCTCAGGCAGACAAACCAGGATCGCATCTTCCATATTCTAGTATGTCCATAGACAAGGGCATTTTCAGTGACAGGAACCATCATGCCAGAGAACGCAGCTAAGGACAGAGCTGAAAGTTTACTCAGGCACAGAAAAGTGGCTTGAGCTGAGAGGGGAGCTCTCCTGGAGTCTGATGCTGGGACCAGACCACTAAGCTACAGAGCAGCATGTGTCCTCTTCTGCATCAAGCAGTTCCTGTCCCCTTGTCCAGCTGCAGCGCAAAAGGGGAGGGAGAAGGGCAAAAGGGGAGGGAGAAGGGAAACTAAATCATTCTGTCTTCCTGAGAGACCAGAAAGAGTCTCAACGAAAAAGCCCCAAAGCAAAGCATTTTCACAGACGAATTCTGGGGAGGCAGGGTGGAAATGCAGGGAGAGGCAGCAAAGCAAGGGGAGAAGGGGACAGGGAAGAAAGCAAGTAAGGTTATTCTATTTTAGCGTAATTTCCTAAGGAAATTAGCCTTAATGCAATCATTTAGCTGGTTTCCCTCCTCCTACCCTCCAAAGTAATACTTGAACCAATTGGCCAGTTTCATTCAAATGTGGGAGGGAGGCAAATAGGAAATATCTACATGACTTGTGAAAATGAGGAGCTGCATAGAAAAGAGCCCTGCTGAGGGCAGAGCTGCTAAGCAGAAAGCTACAGGGCCTGAGATCAGGAGCCAGCAGGAGGAGGATTAGGAGACACAGAAGGCAAATCTGGAAAAAAAAAATCTCATTTCCTTTGCTAACCTGCTCAGGGACAACTCACTTTATACTAGCCCTAGAAAGGGCCGGGAGAAAATGAAGTGGATCCAGAGCTACCAGTGCTTTCTGCAGAGTTCTTGGTCTCTACCACTCTCATGGTGGAGAGGGACCCACTGTAGCTTCTGTTTTCAAGCAGTCAACCCCTACCCAGGAGAGCAATGGCTGACCTGTCAGTGAGGGCCCCTCACTCTGCTCTTTAGAAAGGTGGCAGGAAAGAAAAAACAGAGCACAGACAGGTAGGATATAATTTTTAAAAGCTGCACAGACACCTATGCCCAGCACATCTTCCTAGCAGAAACAAGGTAGGCGAACAGTAAATTATAGCTTGTCACTCTGTGAAGGGGGGAAAGCAGAATGTAAAACAAGCAGCAATGGGAGACAAAGTGGGTCCCAGGCATAAAATGAGGGATAAAGCCCAGCTAAGTGAGGAGTCAGCATTAGTAAAGGCACCTTAGTGCACCAGGAACGCTGCCCTGCCTGGTCTGTGCAGTGTCAGGGAGCCTGTTGGTCCACTGACAATTCCCAGCTCTGCCCTCTTTCATTGCCGCCGAAAAGCCCCGCTAAATGGAAAGGATCCTGTCCTGGCCAGGCTTTGAAGAAGAACTTTCAATGCTGAGTCCATTCTTCCCCCAGGGGACCTCCAGGCATCCAGGTTTCTTTCCTGAAAATTCTGATCCCAGACGTGTTTTCAAAGGGCAGACAGGCAATATAAACTGGCCCCCAGGCCACTCCCCGCCTTTTCCAGTTCACTGCTGAAACTGGAGGTGATCCAAAATAACACAGAATAAAACCCATGGTAAAACATGCATGGCGAGGGAAATCCCCCATCTCCTCAACAATATTCTTGGCCTCTCAAGAGTCCCAAGGTGAGACAAAGGAAGAAGGCAGAGACAGGATCTTGTTCCTCTCTGACCTGGAAGTTCTCTGTCCTTGAATGGATCATCAATCTCTGTGCTCTTCGATCTGGCATCGCTTTCACACACTGGGGTCTCATAGCTGAAAAAGGAGAACAGCAGATGCTAAACTATGTGCTATAGCTTTAGTGTCATCAGATGGTTGCTAAGGGGTTGTGTGTTATCTGCTTACTACAGGGGAAACCAGTAATATTTCTTCTGTGGGCTTATTCTCAAGCATCTGTCTGCTTGGACAGTCAGCAACAGCAGCAGAAGCGGAGACAGAAGGAAGAGCATACTCCAAAGTCCAGTACCAGCTACCAACACAAACCCACAGACCGCACAAGCCCCTCTTCCAACTCTTGTGCACACAGGCTGAGTTGTTTTTTTTTTTCTCTCAAAGCTGACCATGCTCTGCAGAATCACCATATCTAGGTCCCAACTCCTACTGGCCTGTTTCTATAACTTGCCAAACCCACAATTTGTTTCCAAACCCCAAGTCAGAAGATTCCCCCAGTAGTTTTAATATACAAAGCAAATTAAAGGAAAATCTACCCTGGCTTAAAATCTGTAACACACAACCAAGCAGTCTTTTAAATCTGTACTGGTCAGGATCCAAGTGGCCACAGCATAGAAGCATAAAGCAGAGGATAATACAACAAAGCCACTTGTCTTTTCACTGCTCGCACCCCTGATCTGTATTCTTGAGCAAAGCCCTGGTTCCTGCTACCACCCAAAAGCTGCAAGCCAGAGAAAAAAAGGTTGCTTTGCATGAATACTTAACACAGAGGAAAGTAAGAGCAGTAGTGACTATGCGCCAACTCCTACGGAGAGGGAGCTGCATAGCAACATTCAGTATGGAACATCCCATACAGCACCGCTAGCTCTAAGGAGGTTAGTACAGAGCTGACTGCTCTAGAAGTAGGAACTTATCTGATATAGCAACAGTATTTTTTTTATATCTCATCTTCTCCAGGCAGGCATCTCACCAGGCCTACAGCTCTTACCGAGTGGAAGTACCAGGCAGGGGGCGTCCCGTGTCCACCAGGACACACCAGCAGTACCCAGTCGACTGGTGGCATTGCACTGGTTTGTAGAGCCCTCCAGGAGCACACTCAGGGATGACGATACCCTCGCGGGGGTTCTGCCTGGCCTCCTCCAGGGCGCTCTGCCTTTCCTGGTCGCAGGAGTGAACTTTCTCTGGAAGACGGGAGGGAGGTTGGAAGGGGTGGAGAAAAAAAAGTCAAATCAAGATCATCTTTCTCAGCTCAGCAGGATATGGGTATCCTGTGCACCAGGAGACCTTCGTGTCTGTTTCCTTCTCAGTAAACAGCACTACATCCACACCCCTAAGGACTCAGGGAACTTCTGGGTTGAGAGCTTCCTCCTAAATTTAGCTGTGACACAAGATTATGGATTATAGACATTGACTGCCAAGCGTGCAGCAAGCCAGGAACAGCAAGAAAAACTGTTCCTATTCACCTGGGTTTTGGAACAGAACTATCAGATAACAATAATTCACTATTACTGCAGCCACAGGGTAAGAATTTCCCAGATGATGTTTTCACATACTGAGAGATCCTAAATTGTGACTTGTATTTTCCAGCTAAATGAAGGAGGCAAACACCCTGCCCTGCCCCACTATCTCTTTCTCCAGACTGCAACACACTCTGCCCTCTCAATAACATCTTTCCAGCATGATCCCAAGAGAAGCAGAAGGTTATGTTTTAACACCGCCTTATGCAATGCAGAGAGCACACACCTGCACACACCTCGGCAGGGAACAGACTGAGATATCCCGTTCTACCCACACTGCCATCACCTTTCCAGCACACTCCACCGTTGTCTTCACCTTGAAAACAGAGGGCACCCAATATTGCTTCCTACCAAAAGGTAGTTAGGACCCTGTCCTTTAATAGCTTATTACAGAGAAAGGGTTATTTTCAAACACATCATTAACCAGAGAACAGAGTACACAGACGGCACATACCAAAGAACAGAAAGAAGTCCAGAAGTGACTTCTGCAGCCAGCTGGGCACCTTCAGCCCTAATGCTGCCTCTTCAACCACCACCTGCAGAGAAGCGATGGATGCATGGAGAAGTGCCAGGCTGCTGCCTCTTATATGGCCCAGCCATTAAAGGGGGAAGAGATGCACAAAGTACCCACGGGACATTAAGACCTATTTGGCTCAAGAGCCAAAAGTTCTCTATTACAAGTCTTCAGACATTCTGGCCTTTTGCGAAGTAGAAAAATTATTTCAACACCACTGAAAGTATCCCAGAGAGAAAAAAAAAAAAGCATGCATATAGGACAGAAAGCAGCCAAGACAGCTGATCGCAGGATTTAAAACATGCCTAAGTCTAGGGTAAAAAAAGACAACAACATAACTCCTACCTTTTATCCTCAGGAGAGTGACAAAAACCAGAAGCAGGAACAGTTGTTCTCTACTTCCCTAGCTTTCCTCTCCCTTGCAGTTTACTGTGTTCTTTTCTTTTTATAAATAACCCACAACATCTGAATTTCCTTGCCACAGCCAAGAATCCCCTCAAGCTTTCAATACATAAAATGCTTCTACGCTGACAGGCAATGACAGCACGGGTTCATCCAAAACCTGCGGATGTTTCCATGGTCAGCCAGCATGCATGGCATGACTTCAGCATCCTGCCCCTGGGACAGGCTCAGCACACAACTAACACATGTGCACTGTTTCTGTGTATTTTGCCTGCCTGTCTGTACCCCATCGGTTGTGGCTTATATTTTGGTGATAAATTCTGGTGCAGAGAGTAATTTTTGTTCTGTATTTGGGGAATAGAAGGGGTGCCGATTCACAGCTAGAATTCCTCAGCTTGGTAGCAGCAGGTACGACACAACAAACTCCAGCAGGTCTGCACAGTGTCACCCTAGTACAGCATGCCTTGGGTATCATAAGCACTTCTGCTGGTTTCTAATTGAACTGTAGCAGCTAAAGAGGCTCAAAGACCCAGAATGGTCTCCCTCAGTATTTCAGATCACTGTCAAGGCTGGGAATGTGAAGGGCACCTGAACTTTGCCACACACAAATCCACACAACCAAAACACAGAATGAAAACTTCTAAGTGTCGGCAAGTCTGGCTCAAGCGGAGAGAAACTTGATCGGGAAGGAGCAGGAGGGGATAAAGTCAACAAAAACTGAAAGGGAGCTCAAACCTCAGCTGATATTTAAGCTGACTTCACTTTGCTGACAGATTTCACATTTGAAAAAAAGGCCCCGTGACTGTTCCCAAGCTGTACATGGACAGAGAAGTCATTGAGCGAGAGGCCTGCAGGCTCCTTAACAAACCACTTACATCATGAGGGGCCCCTGGTCTGCCGACAGCAATTCACACCTTGGCCCTCAGGTGAGGAGGATCATTCATGCAGCTTGGGGAAGCAGAAATAGAGGCAGAATTCCCTATCATCATTATATATAAGAAGCAAAAGAAAAAAAAAAAAAAGCTTCTGCTGAAGAGAACTACATTCCAGAAATTTTTCTATTGAAATCCCCAAAGCTTCCTGAGTGCACAAAGTCAAACCAAGATCTCTCAAGTCTTTTGTCTTGCAAAACTAGCACTAAAAATGACTCAAAACGTTAAGTGGGGTTTTTTGTATGTGTCAGAACAAAAAATATGCCACTTTTATTGAAATCAAGAAAAAAAGAGAAAGAATGTCTTTTGATGAGTTAGCATCTTATTTTACATCCATTTGCAGTTAGGTATGCAAATTACACAGAATAAATGTACACACACGTCTGTACAATGCCATCAGAAATGGCAAAAAAATTGCTGTACTTATTAACAGAAATTTGTGGGAACTGAATAGTCACAGCATTAACTACCAGAATACAGAACTGATTGGTAGTCACTCCTGTTCAAAGGGTGTTTTAAAGGCTGAGTGAAACAAATCTTACAGGTTTTGTTCAGTTGACATCAAATAGATGTAATGATTCAAAATCCACCATCGTAACCAGTATTCAGTGGCCCATCATTAGCAATGATAGCAGTACAACTGAAATAGCAGGGAGATCAGATTTTTCTCATTTCTAGCATACATCTAGAAGTAGCCACTATGAAGGTCTCAACTATTCCATTACATCCTGAAGGACATAAAACAAACATACTGGGGCAAAACAAAGGGCCCAACTTTTCACCTCCAGCCACAGCCAAAAGCAGAAGCTTAGAGGAGAACAGAGGAACAGGGCAAGCATATACTTCTTTCCCACGTGTATTTCATGTCTTAACCAGTCGTGGATCAGAAACTCGCAGAGACAGACAGGGAATTTGTATTTAGTGAGTAGCAATGTTTTTTCCCTTCCACCAGTTTGTCATGTCTCCCCTTATAAACTTTTATTGACTATGACATCCTGCAGTTAGTTCTACGGCTTGACTACACATTGCACGTAGAACACAATACATACTCTGGTTTGATCTAAACCTGGCTCCAACTAGTTTTGTTTGCTGACCCCAGTTCTTCTGGAGGATGAAATAGCGAACAGTTTGCAGTCTCCCTCCCTGTCTCTCGCTGCTTTACAGATTCCTACTTCTTCTCTTTTACATGCTGAAGAGTCCCAGCTGACCCAGTTCTTTCTCTGAACCCTTTCCAAATCCACCATACCTTCCTTGAGCTAGAGAGGACCAGAACAGCAAACACTGACACCAACTGGAGGCTCTGACAACAGCCTTGTGGAAAGCTCCTTCAATGAAATCTGCCTACTAAGCAGAAGAAAGTATTAACTAGTAGTAGCCGCCGGAGAGGCTCTTTCCTCCAGGCTACCACTCTAACAGCACTTAATTCCTTTAAAAAATAAACATGAATGCTAACAGTTGGAGTGTATTTCAACAGCCAGCAAAATCAGCTGGGAAATCCATACCATCAGCTTCCCTAGTATGGGACTTGGCATGGACTGCATACACTGTCACCCTGAAAGACAGTCTCGTGGGTAATGAGGGGACCATCAAATGCTATCCCAACTCCAGGACACTGAAGTCAGCCTGTTCCAGTCAGACTGCTTACTGGAAACTTTGCTGTTGTTGCCAAGGCCAGGTTTATGGAGGACAGTGAAAGCCTATGGCCAAGCTAGAAGGTTTAGTGCCAGCTGTGAAATTAAGCTGTCATCTTAGAAAGAAGCATATATTTATTATACATGCAGGGCACTTAAAAACCTATTCCCTGTTTGAGTTAATGAGGGTTGCAGGCACAAAGATAGAGAAAAAAGGTCCCTATATTAAACATCTAGAAGGAGAACTCTTAAGACAGCAAGTCAGTGGGACACAAACAGCCTTCCCAAGACCAACAATAATATTACAGTCTTTTTTTTTTTTTTTTTTTAAAAAGGCACTGTCACGTTCCCCCATTTTCTGCCATCTCTGCTTTGACTTAAGACAACCATCAGCAAAGCAGCTGAGTAACGCTTGCCAACTTGATGTTGCTGGGGAGCAAAACCTTCAGGAGACAGAAAATGTAGATTACAACAAATCCAATGACAGCAAAAATCTGATAGGGAATGCATGCACACACAAAGGAGAGAATCACTGGCAGAAACATCCATTTTACCTTAACTGCTCAGCTCTAAAATGCTAACTGTTCCTTCTTACTCTCGACTGCTTCTAACACTCCTTAAGATATTTATAAAAGTAGTGTCTCTGAAGCCGTGAGCTATGGCAGCAAAACAGGGCTTGAACATCTGCAGTTGTACATTATTTATGCAACAATTTTCCCCCAGTAATGGCCTTCTGAGAAATACATGGTTGGATTCATAAAAAGGTCTCTCATTCCTGGTCCCTTAAGTACACACATTCAAGCATACGTCTAGTGCCTGCACAATAAAAATAAAAATGATGTATGAGGTAAGGGACTCATCTTGACTGTCTAATAAACTACATGGTTATTGAAGAGATAAGGTGTTTGTTTACCTTACAAAGTTGAGAAGAGAGGGTGTCTAGCAGCATCTAACCAGAGGCTTGTGGTTAACTGTTCTCATGCTCAGCTTGCCGGGCTAGATGCAGCCAACGTGCTGCTCTGGGGACCAGGCAGCCTCCCCCAGCTGCTCTCCTGACACATAACAACTCTCATTGCTATCGGAGCCAAACGACCAAGCATCAATCACCGAGGCTTGCGAGGATGCTGTGGATTCGGGTGGGACAAAGATGATCTGCGATCTAACCACAGCAGACTATTTTTTTGA